TCATAGTGACAGTGTGTTGGACACCTTCAAATTGAAATCAATCATTTATATTAAACCAACTGTCTCCTGTTCGTACTTAACAAACACTGTTACATAAGAAGAGAGAGGAGCCCACTGCTGAGACGATAACAAGACCCTCAGAGAACAAACAGGACCAGGAATCAAACCACGGGAAAGAGAGAGAGAGCTCTCTTTCTGTATCTCGGCTGCCTTTCCCCAATCCGGCTGAGAGGGGAGACAGTGATACATGAGGCAGGAGTAAAGTAGGGCAATCCCCCGCATGACGGGGAGAGAGAGGCAGGAGAAGAAAGAGAGAGAGGAGTGGGGGGGGGTCAGAGAGAGGATGTGGGGAGATGAATGTGCTCACTTTCTGCTGCTTGTGGGATGGGAGTGGGGAGGAGGGAGGGGGTTTCCATGGCTGTGTATGAGAGCACTGACCAGCAGCATGAGGCCGTATCACTGACTAACACTCACTGCCTTAATAGGAAGGATGGATGGGAACATGGGAAGGTCGGAGCAGTCAGCCCTGCTGAGCTCCACAGGAAGTACATACACAGAGAGAGAGAGAGAGAGAGAGAGAGATACTGTACCACACATACAAAGCCAGCATAAGCAAGACCTGGACCTCCAATCTACACACATCAGAATATATACTGTACTTAAAAAAAACACACACAAAAAATATAACACACACTGCAGTGATGAACACAATAACATAAACACACACAAACACACACACACGTAAACACACACGCACCCAAGATGACAAACAGGAGCAGGACCCACACAAACACCTCCATCATGGCTATAAGGGCAAACCAAAACCACCACATCTATTTCTTCACAGACAGATAGTCATTATACACATACACACACACACACACACACACACACACACACACACACAAACACACACACACACACAAACACACACACCCTGGTCTGGCAGCAGCTAGATAAACTTTCCATTCTCTTATTTATTTTTGTTCCTTTCCACAGAAACACGACCTGACTCATCACCACTGCTCTCAGCCTGTTTCCTGTCCCTGCTGGTTCAGTGTCAGCTTTAATGCTAATTGTATCACAGTTAACACAACCAGAACACACTCCTCTTGAACTTGATATACATAAAGAATCTTACTTTGCTTTTGAGGTGAACTTGTTTTACATGTCGTGGTAAGAAGAAAAACTGGCTGCTACACACACATCAGTTGCTAACAAGTGCTGAGGTTCAGTATCCAGCTCTAACTGCTTGATGTTGTTTGTCATTATGAGCTGATCTCCAAAAGTGGGACAGGACCAGACCCAGGCAACAGGCTGAGACAGACACAGAGAGGAGGGTACAGAGGACAGTGTCAGAGCATCAGTCAGACCTGCTCTGTGCTGCTGCTCTCTACCTCTGACCTCCTTTCCTTCACAACTCATCCCCCAGACACTCTATCTGTTCATAATTATGTCTCTCCCTCCACCCTCTCTCCTCTCATCAATAATTCACTCCTCCTGTGCTCCAATTAAATAATTAACAGTGCCCAGAGCCATCAGATTGTAACCCAGCAAAGACAGCACGGCACTGAGTCCCTCCATCCTGCTGCACACAGCAACATGCTCAAAATACTGAATCCAGAGTCATCACAGAGAGAAAACACATCTTATGCACAGAAGAATAAGAAGTGATGACTACTGTTGTAAATGTTGTCAGACTCTGTCCTCATCTCTGAGCCTTCAGTCTGTCCAGTCAGTCAGGCTCCAGCCAGTTTGACACTGATCTGAATGAATATTCAGCCATAAACACAATGTATCACCCAGTGTCAGCAAATAGACTCTAACTACAGTTAGCCATCTAAGCTAAGCTACAGCTGCTACAACTTCAACATTATTTTGTCATCACAACTTCATCATGCTGTATGCTCTTTGTTGCTATGGCAACGGGACAATCAAAGATCAAACAGGACTATAAGGTTAATGTGATGGAGACTAAAATGACTAAAATGCTACAAAGAGAGTTAAAGGATAATGTTCAAATGTTTTCATCAGTGTGAACAGTGTGGTGCACTTCATAGAGATGTCACCACACCAGACATGTGGTCTGTACCAACACCAATGACACTCCCTGACTCTCCATAGCACATTCAATACTACAGCAAGAAACCGAAAACAACAGAAGCTGCTAACATAGTGTGATAACACACTCTTATCTAAAAGTCGGTGCAATATTTTAACAGACTGAACAGTTATGATTGTAGCCTGCTAATGTTGTGAGCACCCAGCTCACGTCGCTATGTTAGCCTAAACAAGCTAATATTAGCCTAAATAAGTTAGTGTTGGCTTAAACAATGTGTGTGGAGTCTTGTTACAACAGATCTGTCACAGTTCACACACAGTAACATTTCAACATTTCAGGACATGAACATGTTGACGACATGTTGTTGGTATAAAGTGAACAACTGAAACTCATCAGCCTGAACTCTGTGTACAGAGCTGATGTCTGTAAATGTTGCCA